TGATTTCCTTCTGCCTACGTCGAGGCAATATCGAGCTGGTGCTTCACGGTTATTACATTTTGTAATTTGCGAAGGCTTCCATTGTGCTTCGAGCAATTTAAAATCAAGTACAACTATGCTTGAGAAATTCGATTTAAAAATAGATGATTGCTTTTACGCCACTCTACCTAGCTATTGAAGTTTTTTTAAAACATTTCGTCGCCCATATTTTATATGCTTTTGTTCGCATTAAGCGATTCTTATGATTTTTTGATACGATCGCGAAGAAAATTTCCAGAATTGATTTCTTTACATGAATGATCGATCAAGCAACCAATATCAGATTTTTAAATTAATTCAATTAGCTATTATAGAAATTTCAACGACTTTGAAAATGTATTTTGTTAATGAGTTTCAAGTAAATAAAATACAATAGAGTCTTGATTATTTAGATTAATCATACGCTGTTCAGATAATGAAACCGCTATATGTTTTTAGCCGAGAGAAGATCATTTATCTCAAAATATTTTATAAACATGAATATTGCATAAGAACAAAAGTTTTCTTTTTTACTAAAAATCAAACAGTATTTTATATTTGTATTTTTATTCTCCTATCTTCCTTACAAGAGATCGTTCACGAATTTTCTGCTAATCAATTTTTTGATAATTGCTCCTTCCAGTAATAGATGTTCCGATAATAAATCGATACTCTGTTGCATTACTAAAGAATGACGATTGGTATGGTAAAAAGTAAAAGATGTAAATAAAATATTAGAAAGCACGAAGATATCTATAGCAAAAGGATATTTAATGGAAAAGAATCGGTAAGATCGGCTCTGAAAAGTAATTAAACGCTTCGATATAGACACAAATCATGTTAAAAGAATCGCTCAATGTATCGACGAGAATGAGTGATCCTATGCATAATTTAGCTTGTTAAGTTTGATTTTCAGTTAACATATCCCATTACGAAGATATGTGCTACTTCCTGCTGCCCAGTGTGCCATTGGCTAGGTTTCAAATGTTCAGCGGTCACGTGTGGGATCAGAGTAGATCTCGCAATTTCAGAAGCACCGTCGGACTGCTTATTACCCATTATACCAACACGCTCGGTATTATAAATTCTTCCAAATCCTACACGCTTTGAACACTGTCCACGAGACGTTTCCTCATGCGGATCTCGCATGGTCTATTTCTTGACGCGGTAACTGACGCAATAAAGCTCGCTGAATCTCGGTACTTTGGCCATTGTCCCCTTCCAATTGTGTAACTCTACACATTATTGAAACGAACCACTGTTTCTGTGTTTAATGGTTTGAAAATGTCAAAAGTATCGTTCAGCAGCTCTTGTATTAAAAATAGAACGATTAAAACTAGATCGTGAATGTTTATGCATTTGTTGAAAATTCGAAGACGCAAAAAAGCGTATGACATATAAAATATATGGAAATGTAGATACAAGGTGGTTTATAAGACCGTTTCCTTAATTATATTTGCAGAAATATGAATTTGCATAAATGTCCACAATTTAATTATATTTTATTAAACCGAATTAAATATCTACTAAATTAAATAAACCATTAAATTAAATATCTTAGTAAATTTCATTAAATTTTATTACTGTAATTTTTCAATCCGAATTAGGAAATTAAAGATTCCAGAAAAATATTTTTAATTATTCGATTTTATATGATATTTGTTGGTTATAAGAATAATTACGATTAATGGCCATATCGTTACAGCTGAAGTAATGTTACAACTCAGAAACAATCGTGAGATGCTCGACGATTTGCTGGTCTCCATGCTGATACGTTGTAAACATCTAACGAGATTACAGTACGACGGTATAATAAGAAGTCTTGATACCCTGCGGGACATCTGTCAGCTTCAAGCTGAAAGCAAGACGCGTAAGAATCCAAACATTTATTCAATAGAATCAATTTCAGTTTTAAAATCGTATATTTTCATTTAAGAGTTAACACAGCATTAAAATATTATTCGTGTTTAAAAAAAAAATAAAATAGTTTTTCGTACGATCCACGTGAAGCCACGTAATGTTAATGCCCGAAATCGTGCCATATTGAACGACATAAACTACCATTACGATCACAAAATGATGGAACAAGGAGTAGATTTTCGTATCGAAGATCCAGCCTCGGTTTTGGTGTTCTATTAAAATGTTAATTTCCCACCTGTCCACCGGTATCTGTCCCACTCATATCTCTGATTATTACAGCCAAAAAATAAAACAATGCCCTCTATCTCTCTGCGATTTATTCTTTTTGTCCTTTTGATTCTATTTTGATCTTTGGCATTTATTTCGATAGACATTTGTCGTTTGTTAAATATTTTTACAGTACACAGAATTTCCTTTTCATTACTAAATTTACCTTTTATTATTATGTAAAATAATATGTGCTACACTATTGAATCTTTCAATGTCGGAGGATTATTAATTATTAAATAATAACTGAAACAGAGAATCGAATAATAAACTTACGCTGTTGTGAAATCATTTTTTTCGCTTTATTATTGTCGATACAAAATCATTGACAGTATTATCGGGTGAGTTAATTTAATAATAAATATGACATTGTAAAATAGTCTGGCAGTAACAATTTATAGAAATATCTAGAAGCAGTCAATAATAATAAAAAATTCGTATTCGCTAGCATTATCCCAGAGCTTTTAATAAACGGGATTTAGGAAAAATTGTCTCGCTGTTTGTACAGCATGAATGATCGTAATCAGCACATGTATAAAAAGTATTTAAAAAAGTGTATAAAAAAGTACAAGTTTAAATAGATGTTAAATATATCACATAATTTCATGATGGTCTTTTTTTATACAACTAATAATCGATGAGTAAGTCGTCGATTTTTAGTTGGATTATATTCTTATCGAACAACAGAGAGTAACTAATAGCTGAAGAATTTTTATTGTTTTTCGATTGATAAAAATCGATTGTTATATGATTGACTTCTGATCGATTAAACCAAGTGTTTCTTTTAAGTAAGAATTCTACGAGTTCTACTATCGACGAAGAAAATATTTTTCTTACAATCATCGTAAAATCGTATCTTGCATGATGTTAATCGAGGACGCAGGAAAAAATATGACAAATCCATTTTAGCTGATTTTTAAGTGCTCGGTGGTTGAAAGGAAATATATTTTTCAAACATTCAGATATGCAACAAAAATACATATTTAACACCAAAACAAAATAAAACGAGATCTAGTGATGTAATATATCCTTTTGCAGTGCTCTTAAATTCGAAAATTGTTCCCCTGTAAAGAAACAAAACAAAAAGGATCTTTCATATTTTTCCCTGTGACCTTCGATCGATATACTTTACATCCACGATATAGCACGATACTTTTGCTAGTGCAACTAGGTTAAAAACGGCTTGTTACACCTTAATACTAGTATCAAGGACGGCTTTATGGTCGCAGAGATTCCAAGCATTTGCTAACTCTGCACATTAAAAAACACACGTGTATGTATCTATAAAGAAAAGTTTCTAAAATTTTCTTAAGAGTAGCATCTCTTAAAAAGAGTAAAAATTTCTTAAGAAATACAAATATCATTCGTATCGTTATTTTCGTTGTTTCATGAACATTTGCCTTCATAATTTTTACATAAAAGAAGAACGCATATACATATACGTAAATTACATCGATAAGAAGAACCTACGATAAAAGCTGCCTTCTTTAAAAGCGATCGATTTCGATGCTAATCCGCTTGAGATGAATGGTGACTATATCCTTAAACGGTGACCTGATTTCACGAGAGTATTCTAAAAGTACCTCAAGGGTCATAAATTGCACAAGGGTCTCCCAGTATTAAACGATCGAGCTGTGTCAATCTGCTCGATGAATAGAAATAAGAAACAACGGGAATACGATACATGTCGGCTATTCTTATTGACAGAATGCCTGACACAGTTTCAAAATTGAATTTAATATTTTAGGGATCGCAGGTCTGTTTCTTGTACACTTAGACGCTATCATATTGGATTCTTTTATTATTTATTGTCATGCACTGATTTTTATTTTGTACGAGTTCTTTTAAAGCTCCTTGTGAACTATGACTTTTCAACATCTAATGTAGTTTTTTTTCTTTTCTGTCTAATTAATACTGCAATCCCCATTCGTATTATCTTGGAATTAAAATATTTCAATTTAAGACTGGGTCTATTAAAATCGATTTTGAACATTTAAATATTGTGTGTGGAAATACGTATAATACTTGTAGTATTTCAAGTAATACATATACTACGAGAATTTTACCATCGTTGCAGATTTATATATAATTTCGAGTTTAAAAACAATATACGAATACATTTTCGATTTTATGTTTGAACAATGGCTTTTCTCACGTAAGCTGTTTGAGGAATATCTCCAAGACTCAATCTTGAATAACCGTAACTTCAAATTGCTGGCATTTAAACTATAAAAAATACCATCTTTTTAATATAAAAATGAGCCTTAAGTAAAACTAAAATTCTCGAATAGGACATCTACGCATAACATTCATCGAGAAAGTCAAAGAAAGTCTTACTTTGCTCTACATTACGAAACACAAATGACGCAAATGAGGTAAATAATTTAATATAAGATAACTAGAAAAACATTCAAATGCATCATAAATATCAGCAGATATTAAGTACCAATACCTATTAGTCCTAATACTTATTGCTCTGCAGTATATACAGGGTGGTTGGTAATTGGTGGTAGAAGCGGAAAGGGGGTGATTCTACGCGAAAAAAGAAGTCGAAAATATAGAAGAAACATTTAAAAAAAATTTTTTTTTTTATTTTTCTATCTAGGCAACAATCTACAGTGAGATCCGTTATAACAAGGCGTGATAAAGTGCACGCGTACCGAGCGAAAATTCAAAGTCGATTTTCTCGAAAACAAAGCCTCAAACGAAAAATTTTTATTGTATATTTTCGACTTCTTTTTTCGCGTAGAATCACCCCCTTTCCGCTTGTACCACCAGTTACCAACCACCCTGTATAATTAGAATGACACTTTCGCCTTATAAAAGTTGTAGAAATAGTCCCAGTCTTACCTTGAGCACCGGATTCTTTCCAACAAAACCGGAAGCCCCTATTCTGTCTCAAACATGTTTCTCACATATCGAACAATCGTCTGGTCGGCCTCAACGACAGGACTTCATGTGAGTGTTCAGGACAGTCCTGGTGACGAAACCTTTTCCACATCGAGGACAAACATACGGTCGTTCACCGGTATGATAACGTTTATGCACGACCAACGTGGATCTCTGCGTGAAAGCTTTGCCACACTGGTCGCAAGAATACTTTCTCTCGCCAGTGTGTGTGACATTATGAGTCCTGAGCAATGTTTCACAGGCGAAACACTTGCCACACACCTCGCAGGTATAAGGCTTTTCGCCGGTGTGCGATCGATTGTGAATTTCGAGACCTTTTGCGGTTTTTAATTCTTTCCCGCAAAGAGCGCATAAATATCGACGTCTTTCGTAATTTGGCATGTCACCGTGAGCTTTCACTTTGTGTTGTTTCAAGACCGATTTGTACTTGTAAACCTTCCCACAGACGTCGCATTTGTGCTCCGTGGTGTTCTGCGGACTGTCAGCTTCGAGCTTCTCTTGAATCAACGTTGTTGGATCGTAGTGGTACAAACGGTTATGCTCCTTTAGGCTACGTTAATTTGAGAGATTAGGGTTTTATGAAATTTTCTACATGATAATCGGAAGATTGAGATTATCTAACATTTTCTAATTTAATTAATTGAAAGATTAGGATTTTGCGAAATTCTTTTAATGATTTAAGGTATTGAGATATATGACGTGTTTCGTAATTCGAGAAGAGTCAGATTTGTTGAGAATTTGGCACAAGGACTCTCCCCACTTACGTATGAAGGGTACAGGAGAGAAACACGATAAGTCATATCTTCTGTCTTTTCTAAAGTAATTTTAAAATTCAATAGATACATTATCAACTATAGTTTCAAATGCATATTTTTGCTATCTATCTGTTTTTATATAATTTGCAAATATCGATTACCGTGAGATTAGCTATTCTCTTGGTTTTATATAAAACTTTTTCAGTTTATCATCTATAATTAAAATAAATATATTTCTCTCTTTTCGACTAATCATAATTAATTAGTCATCAAGTGACTTGCAACATAAACTTATCGTATCCTCTATGTGTAGCCTTCATATATTCTCGCCACAGTGTTGCCTTCGCGTAACTATGAATTAAAATGATTGTATATTAGAATGAAGTCATAGGACAATATTATCATACCTGTACGCGTCGTTGAACGTAGTACCACAAGCGTTACATTGTTGAAACTGCATAAAGTTATGCATAGCTGTGTGTGTCATCAAGGAATCCTTGTCTACGAAGTTCTCGCTACAGATCTCACAGGTGAACTTCATTTCTCGATGGTGTCGTTTCGTATGTCTTTCCACATCAGTCGCATTCACCCCCATGAAACTGCATTCAGTGCAGGGGATCGTTTTAGGAGTGTGAGATTTTTTCACATGGGCGTTTAGCATAAACTGCTGCGGATATGTCTTCCCACACGTGACACATTTGAAGGGTCTATGGATACCGTGAACGATCCTCAGATGAGCTACTAATCTGGTTACGAAGTGGAATTTTTCTTGACAAAGCTCGCAGACTTTCTCGTTCCCCTCGAACCTGAAAGGTTTAGTTTAGAATCGAAATCGTCTCCGTGGGATCATTGAAAATCGTTCCATTTTTTAATTTATTTTTATTCATCAAGGAATTTTATCAAAATCGATGATCATTCAATTGTTATTTCTTTTATCTTTACTTTTAAGGAAATTATTTATAGACCAGTTTTGTAATAAGTCATCGGAAAAGATTCTTGTCTTTTAAATGGATTTTATTCGAATTTGTGTGTATGAACCTTTATTTCAATTTGAATTGCTTGCGTGTAGCCAAAATGATTGTGTGAAATTTATATATGTACGCGTAACAACGTAGACTGCTTTATTTAATTCTGATCATAGAAAATATCTAACAAAACTCACTTTTGTCCAGGATCGAGAAGAATATCCTCGTTCTTGATTCTGAAATCTTCGCAGCTGCTAAGCACGTCGTGATCGTTGTCCCAGTGGCTGGAATGAGGGAACCTTCATTGACAAAGCTACACATTTACAGAAAGCATCATGTATGGTTTCATAATCAGAATCAACACTGAAATTCATACATTAAAATACGAAGCTTCCGATGCTTTTGTAAATGCGCGTACCTAAATCCACCATCACCATCTAGTACGATTTTCAATAAAATACAAGATTCTATTCGTATGAATCATCATTCTTTTATTAAAAACGAACAAATTTCATTGATAACAAAAAGAATTACGAACTCACACACGTATCTCTTTATTAGACGATCTTGTTCGCAATTAAGTTTCGAGCTGCGTAGTTTTCTCATGAATCTTTCGATGTTTCTTCAGGAAACTCGCAGAAACGAATCCCTTCCCACAATCCGCGCATTGATACGGTCTTTCCCCGGAATGGTACCTAAGATGTAATATCAAAGAAGTCCTCTGTGTAAACCTTCTTCCACACTGCGAGCAACCGTATGGTTTCTCTCCAGTGTGCACTCGCCGATGAACAGCGAGGTTTTCTTTGCTAGAGAACTGTTTGTCGCATAAAACGCATTTTACGATCTTCTCGTTAACGTGGCCCCGCCTATGCACCATCAACCTCCTCTTGGAAGACAACACTGCCCCGCATAGATCGCATAAATGCTTCATTTTCTCGTACAAACCGTGTCGTTGCTTCAAGTGCCTTTCCAAGAACAATTTTCGCGTGAAACCCTCCAGGCAAATTGTGCACACGTGCTTCTTTGTCGCGTCATTTCTTAATTCTAACTGCGAGACACTCGCATGATGCGTTCTTAAGTGATTTGTCAGGTTCTTCTTGTAAGGGTATGACTTGCTACAGTGATCACATTTGTACAATTGCTTCCTAGTATGAACATTTATATGTTCTAAGTATTCTGTTCTCAGGAAGAAGCCTTTTTCACATTGTTCGCATTTAAAGGAATAGTCTTTGGTGTGTCTTCGACGATGGCTCTCGAGGTTTGACTTTTGGTTTGATCTATAGTTGCATAAGTCGCAAGCGAATCTTTTGAAACCAGTGTGAATTAATTTGTGACGAGCTATGTTCATGGGACTTCTGAAAGTTTTGCCGCACTCGTCGCAGCTGAAGGCTCTGTCGATACCATGGAGGTTCTTCAGGTGTTCTACCAGCTTCCTCATGTGACAGAAGCAGGCTCCACATTTGATGCATTCGTGAATTGCTCGAGAAATTGCTCTTCGCGATCTGAAACAGAAACAACGATAAAGTGCACGAAGTAATTTAGATAATGAAGGAATAAATGTGCAACTACGTGGAATTATTATAGTACTTATTTGTTTAGAATGAATGTTCTTCTGTGACGATTTTTGTTGTTCTTCGTTAAGTTTTACTATATACCTACCGATATACGATGGTGTGCAATGAAATTTTATGAGAATCTCGTACATGTTATACATATGAAAAATTGTTCTTTTTGTGGAAATGAAATGTGAATATTATTTTAAGAAAATCAAATTTTAGTAAGTTGAAGTAGGAATTTATTAGAAGAAATAATAGACGATATATATGCGTATCGTTTTTAAATGTTTTATAACCAATTATTAAATGTACATAAAGCTTCATACACTTTCTGTTACAAAAGTTTTGTAACGTATAAATATATGTGATTAATATTCATTTAATATTTAAGTCTCGGAGAATTATTCATTTTTTTCGTTGAAGATAATGTTTTTTTAATGTTGATTCTTTGTGGAACGTTTTCGCCTCAAAATTACAAAACTCTTTTACGTCTTAATTTTTGAGTTTGATTTTTTAGTTATAGGTGATAAATATTCGAGATGATCTGAGAAACAGTATAGTTTTAATATGTAATTATAATCAACCCTTTCGTGACCAAATATTGTTTAAATCGTGGTAAAAGAACTTTTTTGTAGTTATCGATAATACAAATAAATCTGCTCCGGTTTTTTTTCTTGTAAGGAAGACATAGTTATAATGTATACAAATTTACTATAAACAAATACACCTATTGTTTACTCACTTAATAACATTTAAGAATACAATGTTGCTCGTACGCAACGTAGAGAACAAACAGACTGAAGTCTGCATCATGAACGAAGTACTTTAAATGTCAAATTATCTAACACAAATTGTGCTATCAATATTAATAAAATAAACAACGAATAATTAAATCTCCTCTGAAACAATGTCTCGTGAAAATTTCTCTATAACACCTTATTCGACGCAATATAAACTTTAATTGATCGTTTCACCCTTATATAACTGTCTTTCGATCTAACACTAATGCTTTAGAAACTTATATTGTCTGTAGCTTCTAAATGTAAATTATATCTTTCTAATAAAATTAAAATACTCACAGAAGCAAATAAAATATTTTGCTACTTGTCAATAGATTTACTATTCGAAAGAAAAAGGAAAAGCATATTTCTTTTCCTTATCTTTGTTGAATTTTAATAAATATAAGGATACAAACATAACGAGAATCAAATTACACTACTCAGTCGTTATAAGTACCATTACTATTAGATTGTGGATATTGCTACATTTTTGGTAAATTTAAGGATATAAAAATCTACAAAATGTATACAAAACATACACGATATGCTTTTGCATATATATCTTTATATGTAAAATATTTAAAGTAAAATAATCATCATAATATTTAACACACGGAATAAATTTCTTTACATTTACAAATTTCATAGACATTCACAGTCTAGACGTAATGATGATCAATATCAAAACAAGTCACATTATATCTAGAAATAACAGAAAATTAACACTATTTACGCTTAGAAGCATCAGACAACATAAACTTCAAAACCACAAGAACAGATTCACAAAGTTCAAAAACACACGAACGTTCCAGTTACTCCACTCACTTCACCTAATTCTCCTTCTTCTCCATCGCGGCATCGTTCAATCCCTGAGTAAAATCTGCGATGATCTTTCTAACGGAGATCACAGGGAGCTGTGGCAGAGGTCCAGGATGTCGCTTCCTGTGACAGATCAGTCCCGGTTTTTGCGCAAACTTCTGTCCACAAATATCACAAGTATACGGTCTTTGACCTGTGTGTATCAGAATATGTTGCTCCTGAGCAGTTCTTCTCGGGAACTTCTTGCCACAAACCGGGCAAGAGAACGGCCTGATACCTTCGTGGATCCTCAAATGAAGGTCCAGATCCCTCTTTTGACCAAAAGTCTTACCACAAGTCTGGCAAACCACTTTCTCCTTCCTCTTGTGCCACAACAGATGTTGCTCCAGGTTCTTCTGGGTCGTCATACAACGTTTGCACAAATTACACTGGTACGCAGTCTTGTAGTGCTTGTATTTCATGTGAGACTTCAAGGAAGGCACGCTCTTGCAAGCGTGACCGCAAACTGTGCAAATAATTGGAGATGCGTTGCTATGCATTTGCTTCGCGTGCTGCACCATGTCGTTCTTGATCTTGAATTGTTTCCCACAGACTGCACACGAATAGTCGAACCTGCTGGTGTGCTTTCGAATGAAATGATCCTTCAACGTCCACCTGTTGTTGCTTTTATATTCACAGATACTGCACGGATATAGTACAGGACCATGAACTTGCTCCGAGTGCTGTTTCAAGTCTTTTCTTAGTCCGAATGTTTGGTTGCAAGTTTTACAGCGATGTCTGTGTTGCTTCATGTGCGACGCTAGGAACGACTTCCGATTGAACTGTTTGCCACAGAAGTCACACTCCAGTAGAGGTTCAGTTTGCTTTTTCGAGATTCTTGCTTCAATTTTATTGGTTCGACTTGGTTCGATTTTCAACTTTTTTGTTGTACAACCTACGGATGTTACAGTGCGAATTTTTAAGTTCATTCTTCTGATTCTTTCCCTTTGTCGCCTTCGTTCCGTTTTTGCCAAGGAGTACGAGTTTTCTATTTTGATGAAACAAGGTTCTTCCAGAGGATTCGTGTCGCTACCATTAAGAGGGTCCAGTGCAGGAGAACTAAAACAGATTGAAGTAAAGTTGTTAGGTTTTGGTATCTACAGGGTGGTTTTGACAATGCTGCTATATGGAGAGCTTACTTACTTGAAACATCTTTAGCAGATGAACGTTTCACGAAGTTTCGATTAGAAATATTTTTGCGTAGGAGCAGAGATCTTTGTATGAAGCAATGGAATATTTTGTGTATACTAGGATAGGTATTTTGTAGGTAATTCAATCGTAATTAATGTGTAATTTTCATCACACCGTTCGATTTCTCACGATATGAATTTCAATGTAAAGTATTTTCGAAATATTTTTGATGAAAATTCGTCAGTTTTCTTTGTATCATATGTTGTTCGAAGATAAAAATATTTATTTGTTATAATGGAAATTTTTTCATACTTACTTTTTCCTTAACATTTTTCTCAATATGAAATAATATTATAGGAAGTATACTACGATATTTATAATTTACAAGTTTTATTTAACCACAGTTTTATTAAAAAGTTTGGAATACAATAAGAAATACAAACAACATTCGTAGAAAACATTTTTAAAATATAAAAATTCATGCTTCATCGAGAAAGAAACGATAGAAACAACTGTATTGTTTAAAAATCTTAAAAATATTTATAAAAATCCAAATACTCGTTCTTAGTACAAAAATGTCAATCCAAAAGTGGTAGCCTAAAAAGCAATATTAAAGTTTCTTATAAAAAAATGCCGTAAAATTGTACGTTATGCTTAATTTGTAAAATTACAAATGCACTGTTTTATAGTGAAAAATTCGTAGAAACCGTGAATTAATAGGTAAATTCAAGCTCTGTACATAAGTAAAACGAAACGAATAAAATTCCTCGCTTATTCGATAATATCCAACAATCAGCGACATGAAATATATGAAAAGAGTGAAGTACGCCGATTCAATATTCAAATTACATATATTTCTTCGAAACAAAAATAGATTTTTCAGACGTATCGATAAACTCTTCAATAATCCATTCGCTATCCTATTAACTCATTAAGGACCAGTAAAATTCAATCCATTCACGATAAAATGTAAAATTCTGCTTTTGTAAGAATACTGTTTGCGAGGAAGGATTGCAATATTGCACCTGGACCCTAGATCTATAATTTCCTGAAATTTAAAGAAATTGAGAATTTGTGATACTATATTAAACTATAATTTCTTTAAATCATAGAAATTTATTGCGTGCTTGCGACTTGCTACTATTCCAACGATGCTGATCTACGCATTTTTTGCGTATTATTTCATCGTTTGACCCTGAATGATTTAACGTAGTTATTCACAGCTTTTCTTTACATCAATCCCAAACCTCTTGCAACCTCGCTCATTCGAATTACCCATTTATTCAATTTTAATAATCGTATTCTTCATAGTGTATTCCTTAGTGAACTCCGTGACGATATTCTTGATGGATACGACAGGCAATGGAGGCAGAGGTCCAGGATGGCGCTTCCTATGGCAAATCAGCCCAGGTTTCTGAGCAAACGCTTGCCCACAGATATCGCAAATATACGGTCTCTTTCCCGTATGAATGAGAACATGCTGCTCTTGGGCAGTCTGCCTTCTGAATGTCTTTCCACAAACAGGACAAGGAAAAGGCTTGACTCCTGTATGCACTCGCATATGAGAGTCCAAATCCCGACCTCGAAATCTCTTTCCACACGTGGGGCACAGTACCTTTTCCCTGGTCTCGTGCCAGGTTAAGTGTTGCTCCAAATTCTCTTGAGTCGTCATCCCTCTTCTGCAGATTCTGCAGATAAACTCAGGCTTATAGTGTCTGTACTTCATATGAGCCTTGAGAGCATGAAGATTCTTGCTGAAGTGGCCACAAACGTCGCACACTATCGGTGGCGCGTCGCTATGATTTTGTTTCACGTGATGGTTCAATGCTTTCTTTATCTTGAATTGTTTGCCACAAGTGTCGCAAGCGAAATTGTAATTAGTCGTATGTAGACGAATGTAGTGATTCTTCAGTGTTCCCTTGTTATTGCTTTTGTATTCGCAAACACTGCAATCGTACACTTGACGTCGATGGATTTTCTCTATGTGAGAAGCTAGGTATCGACGAAGTCTGAAAGTCTTCGGACAGTCTGAACACTTGTGTCTGTGTTTCTTCAAATGCTCCGCCAAGTTACTCTTCTTCAAGAACTTCCGTCGACAGTGGTCGCATTCTAGACGAGTCAAGGTTTTCTTTTTGGATTGTTGGCCAGGATTGTTTTGAAGAGATACTGCGGTTTCCTCTTGGCTAGCGGACATAATCTCGAAGTTTTCTTTGTCGATCCAATTCTCGTATACCTCGGGGAGCTCTAACGGTAAGTGAGCCTGCGAGTCGGTCTTGAATTCTTCGCTCAAAGGATCCAAGATTCTAAAACAGAAAATTAAGTAGATCGTGTTATCTTTGGTCTAGGAAACCGTAGGATATCGTATGGCTAGAAACTTATCGTTAAAAATTCTGAAATTATGTTTTCTTCCGAGTAAATCAAGAAATGTATACGTTCTGAAAACTTATTTATTTTTGGAATATATTGTTTTCACTGAAACATTATTTTCAAACGTGTTATATATTTAGCAACCATATTTTATTGATTTAGTAATCGCTGAAACCTAAACGTAATTTTCTGTGAATATTCTTTATAAAAATAAAAATCTTAGAAGATAATTCTAGTATCTGTATTCGTCATACCTTCTCGCTCTTCTAATGCGATCCAGAACAGTCGTAGCCTGGAAACGTATAAAAATAATATAAATTATTTCACCGTTTCAACGCGATCGTTTAATACATCAGATATACTTATCTTGTATACTTGAATACCATATTTTTACTCTCTTCTCTGCTTTGACAAATTTTACGTATAAAAAGCAATATTATAAGCTTTACGTAATATCGTTAATTGTTAGATACAAGGACATCGAACGATATAACAGTTTTTCTTCATCCAAGCTTATCCAAGCTTATTTCTTTTTTCTCGTCCAGCGTTATTACGGGGATAGTCGAAGAGATCAGGTTCAGTAAAAATATTTATTTCAAACTCAAAGCTATACACAGCGCATACGCATCCTTAAGTATTAGACTAAGCTATTGATTTTTAGAAAAATAGCTGTTGTAGGCATGCTTTCTACTGCGCGAGCTTCCTTTCTTTCACGGATTTTACGCTTGTCCCTTGGACAATTACTAGCAACCTGGTCGACGAAGGCAGGGACGTTACTACGTTTACATATCGAGTGAAACGGAGCATATTACCGTGTTACGTTATATTACAGTTATTCTTAGGAGGACTAGCTCTCGCGAATAGAATTAGTGTCATTAAGACATATCACAACGCGAACGTATCAATGACTTCGCGTGAATGACGACCGAAGGTTCACGATATACATTAAAACAACACGAGGATGTTCATCGAGGAATTGTGAAATATCTTCGTTTTTAATACGATGCGTAAGAAAAAAGCTTTCAACGAGATGGAACATGATCGAGTTTCTTTTTTTATTTGACCGATTTATCACACTGTATTGAAATAACGCAAGCTATAATTCAGCGTAATCATAGCATATTATAATTAACAAAAGGAAACTAGCGCTTCTTGCGTAGTTAGTTTTTAATTTTATTCGATATCGTTAATGACGAAGTAACGCCATTTTATCTGCTCGCTAATTGGAAATTTAATATTTTAATGGATGTTACATAATTAGTATGCGATTTCTCTTACACCCAGCTCAGGAAACGTTTATTCCGTTACTGCATGTTTATGCAAATAATAATAATACGAGTTATAATTTTTCTCAAACAATTGAATCAATTAAATATTCGTTCAACTAAAAATTAAGTTAAAATATAGTATGATATTGATGATTAGAAGCCGATTAAGACTGACTTCTAGACTTTTTAATAAACTGAAAGGAAAACTCAGAATGGAAGCTTATACTCTTCCGTTTCATTTTTGTTCACTTAAATCTTCAATTTACAAGACTGTTATTATATTATACATCTTACATCTCTATACTTATAGTTACACGCGATACGTCTAAAAATAATTATTAATCGATCTAGTGTCTTTAATCTTCCAATCTCGATTCTGGCATTCTATCATTCGCACCTTGCAGTTGTTTCGATCAATCGGGTCGAACAACAAGGGTGAGAAAATATTGCTCTTACTCGTTGTTGAAGCATACAGTTGATCGCAAACAATGATTACAATTTTATACAACTTATACAGTTAACTCTGTACTAATTTTTTCATTAATAATATTAACCCTCCTTTTAGTCCTTTTAGATGCAAACGAAATTTCACTTTCGTTCGAATGTCTCGACAGTGTTCAAATTGCTATTACATAAAATTTATGTAAAAAATTATATATTATATAAAAAAATCTGTCCGTTTCGACTATTCGTCAACTTTGAATTTTTAAAAATCAAGGACATGAACAAAATTTCGGGATGGAGAAAATGTACCCAAAAGTACCACGATGTTAATAAAGAACAGAAAATAGGGAGCAACGAAAGGTTAATAATATATGGGAATGAAAGTGTTTGACAAATCTTTACGTTTTAAAAATCGCTGAAATAACGATTATGATATAGGATTAGTTATCGATAATCATATTCGAAAATTTACAAATTTTATAATCCACGAATAAGAAAAGTAGTATGCTTATCTTAATAATTACTTTTTCAAAAATTCATAATTTTAAATTGTGGTACGAATATCAAAGAATTACCAGGGAATCAAAAATCACTGATATCCTGCATTAAGATTATCTTAATATTTGAAATATGTTAATATTTTCCGAGGTTCCAAAGAAACGCGATACAATTCGTAGGAACACGAGTATTACTGCAGAATCATCAGCGCTAGTTTATCGATAATATAACGAATATTCGCTAGAAAATGTGTAATTAATTAACGTACTTGCAATTTATCCTTCAACGACGAGCAGAAACGAAAACTTCGTCGTACATTCTACGACCCTCTATGATCGAAGCTTATTCGTCTAATATTTTATCATTTAAAATCAAAATTCTCTTATGCAATATTTGTCTCGATATGCGAAATTCAACAGAATCGCATAATCTTCCTAGCGACCGAAACGTTTGTTGATTAAGTATCAAAGGAAACGCTTGCTTAAGTCAAAAGATCAACAAATTTGAAACAATTCTACGCTTCCTCCTCAATCCTCTCCTCGTTTTCACGTGCGTTTATCTCCTGTACGTAACCTTCGGTGAACTCTTTCACGATATCCGCAATTGGCATCACAGGTAAAGGAGGATGAGGTCCAGGATGAGTTTTCCTATGACAGATCAGACCAGGCTTCTGTGTGAACGCTTTCCCGCAAATGTCGCAGACAAAAGGCCTCTTCCCAGTGTGGATGAGCAAATGTTGGCGCAGCTGAGACCTCCTCGCGAATGGTTTATTGCAGATTAGACAGGAATGTGGCTTGCATCCTGTGTGCACTGCCATGTGCCTTTTAAAAGAATCTTTTTTGGTGAACGTTTTTCCGCATTCGGCGCATACTATCTTCTCCCTTTTCTCGTGCTGCGTTAGCAGATGTTGGTCGAGATTTTCCTGTGTGACCATGCGTCGTTTGCATATATGACACTCGTACTTGGGTTTAAAATGTGCCCATTTCTGGTGTACGTAAAGAGAGCCAGTATTCTGACATAATTTTCCACACACGGGACAGTTAATCGGTTTTTCTTTATGATGGAATCGTATGTGGTTGGTCAGATCGCCTTTCACTTTGAACTTCTTTGGACAAAATTTGCACTGATGCTCGTACCGATCGGTGTGTTTTCTAATAAAGTGCGATTGCAACGAGTGCTTCGATCTGCACACGAAGCCACAGGCAGCGCAAGGGAATAACATGCTATTGGGTCGTTTTCTAGACCAAGTTTCGTGCTTTCTTTCCAAGTGAGCCGCGAAAAGACTCTTCTTAAGCGTCCTGTAATCGCAAACCGCGCAGATATACGCGCCATCTTCCTGTATGCACACCTTCTTCTTGTGCGTCCATGCCACGTGTTTCCTGAACGAAATGGCCGAGCTGAACATCTCCGAGCAAAGTTTGCATTTCAGTGCACTGCCCGGACTTCTGGAAATTTTCCTACGCATCTTCACTGGTGTCACATGATTATTTGGCAACTCCAAGATCTCTTCCTCCAAGTATTCCACTTGTTCTATCTGATCTGGATCATCCGGATCTACTTGATCTATCTGTTCCAACTGCTCTTGATCGTTATAGACTTCTTGCATCTCTTGCTCCTCTTGCTCTTCGTGTTCCACTTCTTGATACTCCACCACTTCCTTCGCCTCTTCAATGTCACCGGATGTCAGCTTCTCTATAGTGACCATACTACCTTGAACTTTGACCTGATAAATATCTCCAATCGTTTTATCGTTCTCTTCGTCAATTGTGCCATTTAGAATTATCGGTTTCACATCTTCTTCTTCCTTGTGCTCTGCACTCCTGTTTAAAAGATCTTCATCCTCGTATAATTTTTCGTCCGTCGAATCGTACTGTAGTTCATCTTCGTTGTAAAGACATTCGACTTTGACGAGGTCCTGTTTCTCATCCTCGTGTCCTATCTCATCTATCTGTTCAGGAATATCTTCGTCAGCCAGTGGCGTGTCGTCTTCAGGTACAAACGCGTAGTACGGCTTCCCGTCGAACTCCAGGATCTGCCATTTTTTCATCACAACCGATTCCTTGTCGTAGATAAAGATACCGCGCGAGTTGAGGTGGTCGAGCTCGTATCTGAAACATCATCGATCAGTGGCGTTATTAACGGGCTACCTCGGTCGCTTGTTGGACTGCAAGCTTTCGAAAAGCGTTTCGTTCGTTCATTCTTATCGTTTATGGCAGTGTATGCCAAATTTCCCGCGGATTAAAAGGTTCATCACGCGTTTGTTACTTTTAAAACGCTGATAAAAGGTTTGAGTTAGATTGCTTGTAAAAAAGATAATTAAACTTAAAAAAAGAGGTTTTTGCAGTTTGGCTTAGGTACTACTCGGAGATTAGTCGTGAAGAATGTTAGAGAGTGAGATCAGAGTAAAGCAGAGCATGAGAGGATTAATCGACAATCGATACGCGTCGTCAGTGGGGAAATTATATTTACTTTATTTCGGGTACGCGGAGATACGTTGCAAAATACGTAAGAAAATACAACAAAAATTTTGAGCGTTTTATATAGTAGTTATAGCAGATTTTTATGCACTTATAGGTAATTTTATAGAAAAAAAAGTATGTACAATAATAATACATAAAATATCCGAGATAGAGTATTTGTTGTAATATTTAATAGGTAGAACAAAATTCTGTTTAAGTTCTATTTTTCTTCCAGTTCGTCGAAATATAAATTAAGTGTGCGAAAAAATATAAATTTGCGTAAAACTCCGCAGTCCAGTAATAAGATCCTCTATTAGGAACACGATTGAATTCCATAAAAAGTCGAGATCGCCTTAAAAACTTAAAGCTAAGCATTTTTTCTTTTCAATATCATCTACGTTAAAAATCGTGCGATGCATACAATTTTCGAGAAACATCGATAAACAACTTGCAGTAAAAAACATTCGTAAGAAATTATCAAACCGTTGAACAGTGGTAAATCTCTTAAATCTTATTCGCTGACAAAACAAGATCAGTCTTCGAGACATTTCTTCGAAATAAGTGCAATTCTCGATAAAAGAAGAAGAGAAGGAAAACTATAAAGTCTTGGTTAAATCTAAAACACAGCTTTCGGATAACAAGATTTCTTCGCTTCTTCACCAACTTCTTCAAGATGTGAATCTTCGATGTAATTCCCGGTGAAATAAAGAAGCCCATAAAATCTTTGTTAAATCTAACACACAGTTTTCTTCATTTCTTCATGAAATCTTTTAGAATGTGATCGATATGCATGACAGGAAGAGGAGGCAATGATCCAGAATGGATCTTTCTATGACATATAAGACCAGCCTTCTGAGCAAACGATTTTCCACACACGTCGCAGACATAAATCCTTTCTCCTGTGTGCAACAGTAAATGCTGACTCAAACTGCTATGAGTGGTAAACGCTCTGGCACAAACAGAACAGCTATACGGTTTATCCCCAGTATGTATCCTCATGTGTTTTCTGAAATCGTGATTTTCAAAGAATGTTTTCCCACATTCTTCGCAGACAGACTTCTCTTTCTTTTCGTGCTGAGTCAACACATGCTGATCTAGGTTCTCTTTGGTCACCAATCTCTTGTGACATACCGGGCACTCGTATTTCGCTTTATAGTGAGCGTGTTTCTGATGAGTATACAGGCTGTGACTGTTTTTACAAGTTTTGCCACAAACGTCGCATATCACAGGAGGTTCTTTGTGATTCAGTCTCATGTGAGTCGTTAAATCACCTTTGATCTTGAATTCCTTGCCGCATTGCTCACAGGAGAACTCATAAAGCTGTGTGTGTTTTCGTACAAAGTGAGATCTCAAAGTTTCCTTTCGAGAACAGATAAGACCACAAATAATGCAGGCGAATTTCCTGTTACTGGTTGATCTATTCTCGCCTGAATCTTCGTGATTCTGTACCAAGTGAGCAATCATTGTGGATCTTTTGTTACAGCGGAAGTCGCAGATTGTGCATGATAAAGCTTCCTGTTTTTGAGATACTAGTTCCATGAAAGAATCGTCTTTTGAGGATACGTCTTTCTTCTTTCGATTTTCGTGAGTAAGTTTGTGCCTTTTTAATAAGTACTTCTTTTTGAATTGTTTTTGACAGATATCACAGGCTGGTAAGATCCTAGAGTCCTCCTCTTGAGATGAGTTTGTTTCTTGTTTGGTTCTTCCGGCGGGTGTAGGTAATTTTGAAACGCAGATGGAATTTGATTGGGATAGTCCGTCCCTAAAACAGGAAAATTGCTAAAGTTTATTAGAGTCCTACAAGGATGGTACTTACTGACGATGATTACTTACAGTCGAAGTTAATAGTCACGACGAGTTTGATGTGAAAATAGTAAAATTAGCAGTAGTAGGTATTTATTCTATTGTTTGGGGATAATGATAACGATGATTCATGTTTTTATTCGATGTAGCAGGAAAATGGTACAAATAGTTGATTATAAATGGCTGACAATAATTCGTGAGATATAATTACACTTTTCAATTTCATTGTAATTCTTGAAACGTCATTTAGGATTTATAAAATAGTAAACACGAAGAATGTAAATTGCGATTCAACCAACAAATGGAAAGATGTCTAATAAATTTTCATTGATATAAAAAAATTGAATTCATTATTGAACGTTGTATTCATTGTGAGATATTCAATTTTTGTATCAATAGAACGAAGGATGCTAGAAAAATTTCAAGAAATTTATAGTTTGAACGCATGTTGAAGATGTTTCAAAGATATTATGCAATGTATTTTTAACTATATTATTGATGGTGTAATCAAGTGGCAAAAATCCATAATAGAGGCAATTATTTCTCTTTATGGCACTTCAAGGATGCACAATTATTGATTAATTGTTAGAGATGAACTTGCCGCTTCCCGAAATAGTTGTACTGAATTTCCTGAAACATAAAATCGTAAGTACGATTAAATTTAAAATTAGCTCATTGGTCAAAGCATCGTGTACCTTGAAACTTATTTATATAGTTACCTATAACTATTTTATGAACTTTAATTAAATCAACGTTAAATTGTTTAATACTTGTAATAAATTTTATACAATACTTATCTGCAATTTAATTCATTTCACCTGAGATAAGATGGCATGCCAATCGTTTCACATTTTCCAAAACTCCAACAACGTAAATCAACGTTCATTTACATTTGCATATAATAGAAATCGCGCACTGTTCACTGCGTAGAAGATAATTTCATTTAAAGAAAGAAAATAGAATCTATTTTCTATTTAAATAAATCAAATACAATAAAAATTAGTTGTTATTTTATTTTAGGTAATGATAGACAATTATAGAGAACTTTGTACGATAGTTAAGAAAAATATATATTTTCCACGAGATTGTGCTCAAAATAAATTTTTATAATCTCATCTTGTATACAATATATTTCACAATGCATCTTGTTATTCATTCCCCCAAATGATTCGTTTCTACAATAATCACATAATCTGGTAGAAACGAATCGTATAAAACTATATATATATTTTTTTTACGAATGGAGTATGTACACGAAAATGAATGAAAGCGTGGGAAAATAAATGTTTGAAAATATTAAAATACAAACATCGACGTTCACGTTCGGATTATAATAAAATCATAACCATAAAAATTAGATAATTGAAGTTAAGCGAAAAATTAACTGGGAATTAAGAATTTAAGATTTCCCCTTCGTAATTTTCCATCTCGATTAATAAGAATGTAATACAATTAATAACACAGCGTGTTAATAACGAATCGAGGAAGATCGATTTTTGCTTTATACTGATCTTACAATTGATTCAACAAATTGAAGTTAATTTAATTAACTAATATAAAATCTTCTGGTATGATGAACATCTTTTTCGATGACGAGAATCTTTTTCTTAATCCAGATATGTATATAATTCCTCCAGAAGGATGATCATGAGGAAAGTCTATTTCTGACAGCAGGTATTCATACTGCTTCACATCCTTCTGCAAGAAAGTCATTTTTCCAGTCCATTTGACTCTGCCACAACCGTCGAATTTTTAATGCCTCAATCTGGTCCCCATTTCAATTGAATTCAAAGTTTCCATTTCAATCGGGTTTGAATATTAGGAATATTAGGAAAATAGGAAAAACTCTAACACGAAGTTGAAATTAGAAATCATAAATCACTCGCTAATATTATTAATTGATAAAGCATTAAGTAACTTGATATCTGCAATTCATGGAAATACAAATTGTAGCTTTAGAAATTACTCAGTCACTGAGAGTAATGTTAGACTTTGAACGAGGAACGAATTAGATCATTCCAAAGAAATATCAAGTATGTAGTAAGTTTAAAAATAGCTGGATTAAGAAGATCAACTTCCATGTTTTATAACGTCAGTTCATCATTAAATGTGCACGACACACGCGTCTATTCCCACGATAAAATCATTCTTTCTTCATAAAGTCGCTAAGAATATGTTCTATATGCACCACTGGCAATGGAGGATGCACTCCAGGATGTGATTTTCGGTGACAAATCAGGCCAGGCTTCTGCGTGAACGTTTTACCGCAAATATCACAGAGATATGGTCGTTTACCCGTATGAATAAGCAAGTGTTGCCTGTAAGCCGTGCGACGCGCAAAAGCTTTACCACATATGTGGCAATCGTAAGGTCTGTCCCCAGTATGCGTCATCATGTGTTGTTTTAATCGATGATTCTCTGTGAATGATTTTCCACATTCTTCACACACGAAACTCTCCCGTCTCTCGTGTTGCAGCAAAATGTGTTGATCGAGATTCTCTTGAGTGACCATACGTCTTTTGCAAATTTCACACTCGTACTTTGGTTTGAAATGTGCCCACTTCTGGTGCACATACAGAGAGTTACTATTCGAGCACGTTTTCCCACACACGTCGCAAACTATGGGTCCTTCTTTGTGTTTAAAACGTATGTGTAACCTCATGTCGCCTTTGACTTTGAACTTTTTGCCACAATATTCGCAATCGTATTTATACTCTGACGCGTGCTTACGTTCTAAATGTTCCTTTAATCTACGTCTATTCTGGCATTTAAATTCGCATACGTCGCAAGAGTACTCTTCAGGTTCTGTAGAGTACCTATAGCTATTTTGTCGTCTACCTATACGTTTGGTCGAGTGTTTTCTACTAATGTGAGAATGAAGCGTAGATTTGTTTGTACTTTCGTAGTTGCAGAAGTTGCAGGCATACGTTAGACTTTCGACATCCTTTGCTTCTGCCTCTTCAGTTTTGTGCTCCAAAGCGACATGCATCTTGAAGGCGACCAGACTGCGACATATTTTGAAACAGACTTTGCACTTGTAGCGCTGGGCTTGTTCGTGAACAGCGTTTCTGTGTCGTTTTAGCATCTGCATCACCGGAAAACAGATGTTACACTCTTCGCAAGCATAGACATTGGTGTCGTCATAGTGATCTTCGTTCGTCGATGAAACATCGTCCATATCTTCCTTTTTTATTTTAATAGGGGATAGATTGTCGCTTGCCTCGTTATCAGCTGGAATCATAAAAATTTCTTCCGCGTCATCATTGTTCTTTAGGGTATCATCTGTTGGTTTTGCGACTGTTTTTTCACATTCTGAGAGTTTTGATGGATTTGCTGGAAGGAAGGCATAGTACAGGCAACCCTCAACGTCGACTACTTGCCACGCTTGCATCGGAATTGATTCCTTGCCGTATATAAAACGTCCATCCCCATTCAGAATCCTGAAAATTACAGAACAGTCAGTTACTTGACAAACGAATTATTTTGTCGACAACTCGGAAATATTCGCCTGCTTTTTACATTATTACAAGTGAAACTTCAACACACGAGAACATGTGAGGATTTTTGTCATTGCAGTTAAATAACTGGAAATTATACTTGTCCACATACATGAATCTAAGATAAAGTTCTCACAAACGAAGGAAGAAGAAACGTGCCAGACTTACAATTGCAGACAAATTGTCCAATTGCTGTGTAATTATGGTTAAATTACAGGAAATTAGTCAAGCGAAAATAGAAGAACTTCATTGGTCGGTTAGTAAACATTTCGCTGTAATGAAACTGTAATGAAGATTAATGAATATCATTGTTGAATATAACACTATGAGAGACTCGATTCAATCTCGGATATATTATATATATATATATATAAAAAAAAGATCTTGCAGTATGATGTATTTTACAGATATGCAAGGTATATATATATATATTCGGAGTGTTACAAATGAACGAAATTGCCCAATAACAATTTTAATATAAAATAGTATTTTTTTTACAAATAATTTAATTCGGATGATTAGAATTTAAACAAAAATTTAAACAATCGTTTGGAAATGCATTTTTAAACGTCTCGATATGTTAAATAGGAGTGGAGATAATTCCAATATTCCAAACATATAATCTTTCAAAAATGAGGATGCAACGCAGTGCGTACTACAAACGCAAGAGAAGATGAATTGTATGCGCTGCATACAAAAACAGTTAATTTCATAGAGATTCTCTTTCTGGAAATTTTAAATCTCCATAGCGTGTCATAATAACGCTAGCAAATTATAAAAATAACATAGGCGGTAAGCTATCGTATACGCGTAATATCTTACGAGTAACTTAACTTTTGACATTGTTCTTTGACTCTTTGCGGTCCACTGGTTTGCCTCGCATTTAAAATAAATTTAATTTATTTTCATACTTTTATAAAAAGTAACGTGTACTGTTGTTGAAATACAGTAGAATCTTCACTGTATGAACTAATTGGGAGACAAAAGTGTTCGATCAAACCGATCAATTTTTGAATAATACAGTTGAGAGATAACGTGGAGGATAACGGGTGTTTCCATTAAATTGAATAGTAATAAAATAGAATGTTTTACACGAGGATAAAATGGTACAAGAGATGAAATCTTTAGTTTGAGAAAATTTTTAGCAATGTTAATTTTTATCTTTTTAATGGAAAAATTTTACTTTAATCTTTAATAGAAAAATTTTTATATATTTTACGCCATTATATAAATACCTGTACCATTTTCTCTTTAGATAAATACTGACTCTATGATCGGAAAGAAGCGAAAAACACACTTTCTGCTACTCCTCTCTTAGAAATGAAAAATATCCAATAAAACAGAATGTGAAATCCAATTCAACGTGAAAGATCGCAAAGGTATAATCTCTAATAATAACATAAATCATAAAGCGTTAATTGCACGAGACTGTTCGCTGTAAATCAGTTCTCAATCCAGGCTTCGCCCTTAAACGATCCACTTCAATTGTTTATACAATTAACAGTCTCAATTATTCATCACATCGTTTAATATATGGTCGATCAACACTCTTGGAAGCGGAGGATGCGATCCAGGATGAGATTTTCTATGACTGATCAATCCAGGCTTCTGCGTGAATGCTTTGCCGCAAATATCGCAAACGTATGGCCTGATGCCAGTATGAATTAACAAATGTTGCTTCAACGCTGTTCTGCGTGCAAACGATTTGTTGCATATGGTACAAGTGTAGGGTTTGTCACCAGTGTGGATCCTCATGTGTACCTTTAATCTACTGTTTCTGGAGAACGTCTTGCCACATTCTTCGCAAACCACGTTCTCCCTCTTCTCGTGCTGTCGGATCATATGCTCGTTCAAATTTTCTTGAGTGACCATTCTCCTTTTACATACTTGACACTCGTATTTGGCTTTATAATGCGCAAATTTCTGGTGTACGTACAACGAGTTGCTGTTCAGGCACGTTTTTCCGCAAACATCACAGATAACCGGTTGTTCTTTATGACTGAAACGTATGTGATTCGTTAAATCGCCTTTTACTTTGAATTTCTTTCCACAAGTCTCGCAAGAAAATTTAAAATCATCCGTATGCTTCCTGGCCACGTGTACTTTTAGTTCGTATTTATTCTTATTCTTATAGTCACATTGAGTGCAATAAAATAATTGCGGTTGACCATCGGACGTGCAAGATTTTGGTACCTTATGCTTCCTTTTTATATGCGAGTATAAAGACGATTTTTTATAAGTCTTAAATGAACATTCGTTACACGAGTATTCTTCGCTGATGTCCATCTTATGCTGTCGCTTATGCGAGTATAGCGTACTTTTCTTTGCACATTTAAAGTCACACAGATTGCATTGTTCCTCGACAGACTTTTTACTTTGTTTCTTGCTTGCGCGAGTGGCCACTGAAGGTTCATTCTTGCATTCAAACTCGAATGGCGTGCTTGAGACAGTCGAACTGTCCTTATCTTGCTGCTTTAAACAGGTTCCTCTAGATTCTTCCTTCTCTGAAGGTTTATCGTTGCATCTCTTTGAGATTTCCTCGCTATTGAGCGTCTGATGATTCAGCATTATATGAGAAATCAGAGTGCCGCTTCTTTTACACAAGAAGTTGCAACTATTGCACGTGAAGTAAGTCGTCTTCCGGTCTCTGTGTTCCTCCATGTGTTTCTTCAAATTAGACCGAGTACCACATTTTCTGTTACAAATGATGCACACGATTTTTAAATCTTTTTTGACTACAGACTTGTGTTTCTTTATAATATGAACGTTTAACATGGACCTCTCGCTACAGATAAACTCACAGGATGTGCAACCGTATCTCCTTTTCTTCCTTGGTTTCTGTGATTGCATCGGTTTAATCTGTTTTCCAGAAGATACCTTCGGTCGATGTCTAGAGTTCAGTCGTTTTCTACGAAGCCACGAGTTCAACTTGTTGGACATCTTGTGCCTGTTTAACATACTTTCCATAGGGAACTTCATATTGCACTTGTCACACGTGTAAAAGTTGTATAAGTGCACCAAACTGCCGACGTAGGTTTTTACGTTATTCTCTTCTTCATCGGTCTCCATTTTTACGCATGTTAGGGAGATGTTGGGATTTTCTTCGATAATTTCTTTCGAAAGTTCTAACATTTTCTTGTCGTCCAATACAGGCACCAACGAGTAGTGCAATTTACCATCAGGATCGACGTGCTGCCATAATTGCATGGGTACAGAGTCCTCCCCAACGATGAATCGACCAGAAGAATCCGTGGTGAGGAGCTTTCCACAAGATCGGTCCCTAAAACACAATTGAAAAGGAATGATTACTTTCGAAGGATTTTATTTGCCATTTTGGTACATAAGCATTACTTACTGCTGATCTAAGTCGTCTTTACAGATTTCTATGCGATTTTATCTGAATAGAAATGTATGGTATATGAGGTTTGCGAGATTGGGAGTGATTTGTTTTTTATTCCGCACTATTCTGTTTTTTTGGGCGATTACATTGATTTTATTGATATCTTCGTATTCGATACTAAAACGTACGAACTCGCGTATGACGAACGTACAAAATTAAAAATTGCAGAGAGACGCGAGGAATGTGTCAAACATACGGAGATAAATAAATATGAAAATAATGATATATATTTACAGGATAAAGTGTTCAAGTCATGATGAGTATATATTTTCAAAAATATTAAAAATATTATCAAACTTTTAGTATTTCCAAGAAAATACTCACTCGTTTTATGAACTTCATCCTGTATATACAAGCTGTTTTACATTGTTTTACGTACTTAACGCTAATTATTTTATATATCGTAAAGTACGATGTTATATACTATTATACTTCATCGTAATCTCTCTCTTTTCATTCATACTGCGCTTTACGCTTCGATCTCAGATCGATTCACACAGACGCTCCATAATATAAATTAAAATGCCACAAAATATTTTTCGAAAAAGAAATGCTGTCAAAGCATTCACAGATAAGTACGAAAGTGTAAATAAGTATAGCTAAAATCATTACAAGTATTATCAGTAGACCACGGATATTTATAGAAATTCATAGTTTTATAGATACAAGTGAAAAAATTGGATCCAAGCAGAGATATGTTTCGTTTTTGTTAAATATTAAAACTAGTATTTTAAATGCTTTATATATTTTTATTTATTATATGTAATCTCTGGATTTTCGTGTCTTTCGGATTAATTCAGTTACACGAATTCAAGAGACTTGACTAATGAGAATAAGTGTAGATATTGGAAAGAATATTTAAAAGGAAAAAAGTAAATAACGAGCTCATATTGACAAATTGGTCTCAAGTTGCTTGAATTCAAGTAACGTAACTAATCCGAATGGTCTTTTCTCATAAATGCATAAAAAACGCAGTCTAATCACGATTTCTAAAATACTATATGTATTGTTATGTTACAGCGAAATCTCTGCTTGACGTTCAGTCACAGTGTCGGTAACGCTTTTCTTTTTCCCAAGAGGCACAGGAGGCGAAGACAAATGAGCGTCAGGATGTTTCCTTCTATGCTCTATCATATAATATCTCCTCTTAAAGGATTGTCCACAAAGATCACAGATATGTGGCCTTTCCGTAGAATGCGTTAAAAGATGCGTATTTCTCATATGAGACGTTCTAAAGTTTTTCTTGCAAATATGACAAGTATACGGTTTCACGCCTGTATGTGTAGTTATATGAGTTGCTAGATACCTTTTTGATGCAAATACCTTTCCACAGTCCTTACACTCGTACGTTCTACTGTGTTGTTGCATATGATTGTCTAAGTTCTCCTGTGTCAAGAGCCTTTTATTACAAACGTTACATTGGAACTTATATTCGTTCAAATGAGCTACTTTCCTGTGCTTATACAAAGAATAGTTGCTCGTGTAAAATTTTCCACAGATATCACACATGTGCTGCGAATTGCTGTGAGTTCCAATGTGGAAT